TTGTTTTTTCTTTTTGTATTTTATTTTTTTATCTTCTTTGTGTGTGTGTGTGTTTTAACATTTCATAGCATGGTGTTCAAATACGTGTACGCAGATGCTCGTAGTGGAACTACTCACCACAGCTGAAAGGTAGAAACCACCCAAAGGTCCATTATATAATAAATGGATAAAGAAAATGTGGTACATCCATATAATAGGATATTATTCAGCCATAAAACAGAATGAAGTACTTAGTCCCGCTGCAATGTGAATGAACCTCGTAAACATCATGCTGAGCGAAGAAGCCAAATGCAAAAGCCCACGTGTACTTCCGTAAAATGCCCAGAATAGGTAAATCCATAAAGAGAGGAAGCCGATTAGTAGTTGGTGGGGGAGGGAGACTGGGCAGCGAGTGCTAATGGGGACGGGGTGTCCTTTCGGGGTGCTGAAATGCTCTGAAAGTATATGGAGGCGCCGCATTGCGAATGTACCAGATGCCACTAAATTGTATGCTTGAACATGTTAACGTGGCACATTGTATGTTATGGGTATTTTACCACATTGGGTGATTAGGAAAAAAATGTCAGAAAAGGTTCGTTAGGGGAACAATAATGAAAAAAAGGTTGAGAAGCATCTAATCAGATGTAAGGGTGTATTTTTGTTTGTTCGGCAAGCATATTTGTTAATATCAGTGCCTGTTACACGCCAGGCACACAGACGCTGCGTCTCAGTCGGCGAGACCTAAGATGCAGTGTTCTTGGGGCCAGCGTCCTCACCTCGTCATGGAGCTGAACCATCTGGCCCCCAAGGCTGCACCACTGCGGAACCCCAGCCCCTGACACGGAAGTCACAGAAGCTGAGAGCGGTAGCATTCCCGGGAATCCTTGACCCGAGGTGGGCATTCCCAGAGCAACAACCGTGCACACTGGATGAGGTGAGGACACCATGTGACCCTATCTACATGAAGTTCAAAACGAAGCAAAGTGACTCTGTGGGCCCTGATACCCAGACTGTCCCAGCCTCCCATGGGGGCAGCTGTAGGTGGCACCCTGTCCCCCCAGCCTGTGATCTACACAGGTATGTGCACACATCTGCAGTTGTGTGTGCAGGCACATGGGTGGATGAGTGCACCTGTGTGGGTGTGTACATGTCCATGTGCACTGCACTGTGGGTGTATGTACAGATGTGGGTGCACATGTGTGTTTGTACACATGGTGGTATGTGTCACAGATAACGGGTACACATGTGGGTGGGTGTGTCTGTACACATACTGATGGGTGTGTGCATGTGCAGGCACGTGTGCACATTCAGGGGTGTAGGTACATATGCAGGCACGTGTGTATGCAGTGGGTGTATACACTGTGGGGTGTGTGTATACAGGTGAGTGGGTGTGTACATGTGGGTGGGTGTGTACATGTGGGTGGGTGTGTACACTGTGGGGTGGGTGTGTACACTGTGGGTGGGTGTGTACACTGTGGGGTGGGTGTGTATAGGTGGGTGGGTGTGTACACTGTGGGGTGGGTATTTACACATGCCAGTGGGTATGTGCCATACAGTGAGTGTGCACGTGTGTGGGGGCATGTACCTGTGTGCACACGCAGTGGCTGTGCATGTGTGGGTGTGTGTACAGGCGCAGGTGAGCGTGTGCACTCACAGGTGTGAGTACACCTCGGCGCCGCCCCACCTTGGTGCTGCCGTTGCTGTAGGTCTGGATCATGTTCTCCGCGCCCTGCTTCACCTTCAGCTCGATGGCCAGCTGCTTCTCTAGCCCCGCCACGCGGCTCAGGTTGGTGGCCGAGCAGGCAGGGCCGCCTGCACCCGGGGAGTGGGGGGCATCTGGAGGGGACGGGCAGGAGAGAATCACCATTGTCGTCATCTTGGTCTGCCCATTGCCCCAGGGCCCAGGGGCAGCTGGGGGCCAGGAGACAGGAAGGCGGGGGCGCGAGGGCCCAGCAGGTCCGCCCACCCCGCCCTCCCAGGGAAACCGCTAGGGGCTGGGACAGGACCCAGGATGAATGAGCATGTGTGCGCGTGTGTGTGTCCTTGGTACCAGTGCGACGGTGCGTGGGAGGCCCCAACTACTTACATGGCAGTGTGTGAGCCCATGAGCGTGGGAGCGGTTCCATCTGTGAACCACGGGGTGTGACTATGTGAGACGCCAGGTGTTACAATGCCTGAGATTCCGGGTGTTGGGGTGCGCACGTTTCTGGCTGTCGGTACAACTGTGAGTGCAGGTCTCCAGGTGTTGGTATGAGTGAGTCTGAGTCTCTGGGTGTTGGGACAGCCAGACGCACGTGTCTACGTGAGTCTCTGGAGGGCTGTGTGACTGTCGTGGGGGGGAACCTGGGTATAGAAATGACTGTGAGATTCTGGATGCTGGCTGCGCTCTGTCCTCGAGTGTTGATGGGACGGCGCTGGTGTCCAGTTGTTGACATGCTCACGTGTTTGGAAGGGCCGGGTGTTGGTGTGAGTGCCGTTGCATCTTCAGGCCTTGTCCGATTGTGAGTACGACTCTGCTGATGTGACTGTCTGTCAGGCTTGGGTGGCTGTGTGCGTGAATCTCTGGGGTTTGCTGCGATCGCCTGCAAGAGTGGCTGCTGCTGTCTATGTGTGTTTCTCTGGGTGTTGGGTGACACGATATAAGCCTTTGGGTGTTGTCATGACGATGTGTGAGCGTCTCTGGGATTCATACGCTAGCGTCTAAGTCCTTGGGTGTTGTCTGGGTGCTGGTGTGACTGTGTGTGCCTTTCTCTGAGTACCCATGTGACAGAGTGTAACTCTTTCAGTGTTGTCCAGTGTGGCATGACTGTGTGTCAGAGTATTTGGTTGCAAGACGAAAACGTTCTAGAGATCTGTTGCACAACAATGCGAATATACTTAACACTACAGAACTGCACGCTTAGAAATGATAAATTTGGTTACGCATGGTGGCGCACACCTGTAGTCCCAGCTACTCAGGAAGCTGAGGTAGGGGGATCTCTTGAGCCCAGGAGTTTGAGGCCGTAGTGCACAAAAATCACGCCTATGGATAGCCATTGCACTCCAGCCTGGGCAACATAGCGAGACCCTAATTCTTTAAAAAAAAAGTTATATTTTATGTTATGTGTAGTTTTTATCCTAATTAAAAATTAAAAAACAGATACAATTTTTAGAAATTAAAAAAGAGTCTTTGGGTGCCATCTAGGTGTTGGTGTCATTGTTTGAGAGTCTTTGGGTATTTGTGTGACAGTCTCTCAATATTTGTGTGACAGTGTGCACATCTTTGGGTGTTGTCTGGGTGTTGGTGTGACTGTGTCTTTAGGTATTATCATGGTGTGTAAGTCTTTGGGTATTGTCTGGGGATTGTCTGTGTCTTTAGATATTGTGATGGTATGTGCATTTTGGGTGTTATCCGGGTGTTGGTGTGGCTGTGTCTTTAGGTACTGTGATGGTGTGTGCATCTTGGGTGTTGTCTGGGTGTTGATGTGACTGTGTCTTTAAGTACTGTCATGGTGTGTAAGTCTTTGGGGATTGTCTGTGCCCTTAGGTATTGTGACGGTGTGTGCATCTTGGGTGTGTCTGGGCGTTGGTGGCTGTGTGGTCTCAGTGTGTCCCTCCCTGAGGGACTGAGGCCCTGGGCAGTGGAACCCCCGGAGTCCTGCTCCCTGGGTGGGGGCCCGGCTCACCCTGGGTGGTGGCAGGGTCGGGCAGCACCACGTGGGCGTGCAGCTCCTGCAGCTGCTGGTGCAGCAGGTCGAGGCGGCGCGAGGAGCCACGCAGCAGCAGCTCCACGGGGCCCAGGCTGCGGCCCAGGTCGGTGGTGGCCCGCCGCAGGTTCTCGGCACCCTCCTTCAGCTTCAGCTCCTTGCGGATCTCCCGGCGCAGCCGCTCCCGCTCCAACTCCAGCTGCTGCTGCACCCCGGGGGCCGCCAGGTCCGCCCCTGCCAGGCCCAGCTGCTCCAGCAGGGACCAGCTGCGTGGCTCACTCTGTGAGGGACACACGGGGTCAGGGGACGCCAGGGTGTAGACCGCATGTGGCCAGCCTGGCCCAGCCTCCGCCCCAGACTGGAGCTCCCGGGATGGGTTCTGCTCTACCTCCTCTGACCCCCAAAACTGGGAGGTGAAACAAGGCCCTGCTCCTGCTGACTCCCTCAAACTGGCAGGTCCCAAGGTCAGGGACTTCTTCCTTCCCTGGCCCCTCAGACTAGGGGATCCCACAGGCATGACCCTGTCTCCCTTTGTCTGTCCCTTATGTAGTGGGATTCCGGAGGGCAGGCCCTGTCACCCCACCACTGTGTCCCCCCACTAGATTCTGTCTCCCTTCTGCTGCCCCCCAAACTAGCAGGGCCCCAAGGGAGGACTCCTTTTCTCTGCTGCTCCCTAAAACTTAGGGGGTCTTGAGGATAGGTCCCGCCTTCCCCTGGTGCACCCTCAAACTGTGCCGTCCCAAGGGCAGGCTCCACCTCCCCTCGGCTGCACCGCAAACCAGGGGATCCCAAAGGCAGGCCCTGTCTTCTCTCTGCTGTACCCCCAAACTACGGGGTCCTGGCACAGGCCTCATCTTCCCTCTTCCTACCTTCCAAAACTGGGACCCTAAAGAGCAGAGCCCCATCTCCTTCCTCCTCTGTCTCCCCAACCTGGGAGCCCCAAACGGCCCCAGATGTTTTCGTCCTCCAGAGAAGTCTGAGGCCAGCACCCCATCTCCTCTCCTTGGTCCCAAACTGAGAGCTACCCGGGGCAGGCCCTCCTGCCTGTGCCGCTTAGGGTCCCCTTCTGCCCGTCCCCACAGGGACCCCAGCCCCCACCTCCAGCTCCTGCTCCGAAGGGGGATCGGCCTCCGCCATCCTGGGTCCGGGCTGAGGGCCCCGCCCTCTTCCTGAACCTCAGCCCCGCCAGGGCCTCTTGGCCGCCACTTCCTCTTTCCTGCCAGCTCCCAGCACCCCCTGCGCTAGGCCAGTTCTGGGGCTCAGGGGCATCTAGCGGACCCTCCCCGCAGCCCCACCTCCAGGGCCAAAGCTGCTCCTCCAGAGGAAACTCAGGGACAGCCCTGTTCCCTGCCCCGAGAGGGCCCAAGGTGTGCGTGGTGTGCACACTCACACCCCCGTCGTGTGTCCGTGGTAAACAGGCTCCCACGAGGGTGCACAGGCTCCAGGGGCTGACTTGGGTGTGCACACGCTTTGGCATACATATGGCATGTGCACGGAACACGGGCTCACAAGTGTGTGCACACTCCCACACCTGCAGGTGTGTGCCTGGAATATGGCGCCCAGGTATGCACATTCCCATGCCTACCGAGAATACGCTTATTTGCAAATGCCCACGAGTGCATCCACTCTAGAACCTATACAACACACACTCCCACCTGCCCGGTGGACCCGGCCCACATGCTCATGCATGTGCTCATGCTCACACACGTATGCACGCTCCTCGAGGCTCCCGTGGCGTGCTCATGCTCCCACGGGGCCCAAGCCCTGCCACTACCTGCACATGTCCCTGTGGCCAGAACCTCCCGCCCACTCCTTGTCCCCAGCTTCCCCTTCAGGGTCACAACAGCCAGTTCTGCAGAGGCAAGGTCCCCTTCCTGCAGACAGACCATCCCAACTTCCTGCTTCCTCTCAGTCTAGCTGCCATCTGTTGCTGACCGCAGCTCAGAGGTCTAGGGTCCTGGCCAGCCCAGTGGTACCTCCTTGAGGCCAGCACCATTAGGGGACAGCACTGGGGGTGGGGGTGGGACAAGAATACCCCAAAAACAGCAGCCCACAAACCACTTGCTAAGCACACGCCAGCGTTCTAGTACAACCACAGATGCTCCTCAACTTACAATGGGGTTACATCCTGATAAGCCCATCATAAGTGGAAAATATCACAAGTTGAAAACACATTTAATACACCTCACTAGCTGGATGTGGTGCCTCATGCCTGTAATCCCAGCACTTTAGGAGGCCGAGGCAGGAGGATCGCTTGAGACCAGGAGTTCGAGATCAGCCTAGGCAACATAGTGAGACCCCATGTCTACCGAAAAAACAAACGAAAACAAAATACGCCTAACCTACTGAACATCATAGCTTAGCTTAGCCTACCTTAAATGTGCTCGGAGGACTTGCATTAGCTCACAGTTGGGCAAAGTCATCTAACACAAAGCCTATCTTATAATAAAGTTGAATATCTCATGTCGTTTATTGAATATTGTACTGAAAGCAAAAAACAGAATGATTATATGGGTACTCGAAGAACAGTTTCTACTGATGGGTATTGCTTTTGCACCATCATAAAAATCGAAAAATTTAAGTCGAACCATCCTAAGTCAGGCACCGTCTGTATGAATAACAGCAGTTACTGCAAACTGCAGCCAGGTCGACTAATGCAACTCCGTAACATGTGTGCTTTTATCGCCCCATCGTTAAGATGAGGGAGCTGAGGCCCAGAGTGATGACGTACGTTGCTCCAAGGTCCCACAGCCAGCAGAAAGAAGGCAGGGCCAGAATTTAAAACAAGAGCACTCAGAATCCAAAATCTGGCTAGGAAAAGCCCCATGTGCGTTACTGACCTTAGCTGTGGGAATCTATTACATACACAAGGAAAGGTGTCCTTTGGCTCTTGACTGATCTTGGGGGCAGCTGTCCCCACGGAGTATTACTGCAGGTAAAGAGCATCACCCCCATCAACCTACCAATCCTCACTAATACCCCTGAGTAGCTGCTGTCATTCTCCCCGCTTTACAGGTAAGGAAACTGAGGCTCAGAGAGGTGACAGCAATTCCCAACGGAGGTGGAATTTCTTTCTTTTTTTTTTTGAGACAGAGTCTCACTCTCTTGCCTGGGCAAGAGTGTCGTGGCGTCAGCCTAGCTCACAGCAACCTCAAACTCCTGGGCTCAAGCGATCCTCCTGCCTCAGCCTCCCGAGTAGCTGGGACTACAGGCATGCACCGCGCTGCCCAGCTAATTTTTTCTGTTTTTAATTGTTTGGCTAATTTCTTTCTATTTATAGTAGAGACGGGGTCTCACTCTTGCTCAAGCTGGTCTCAAACTCCTGAGCTCAAGCAATCCTCCTGCCTCGGCCTTCTAGAGTGCTAGAATTACAGGCGTGAGCCACTGCACCCGGCCTCGGAGGTGGGATTTCATCCCCACCCCTGGGGGCATGTGGCAACATCTGGAGATATTTCTGGTTGTCACGACTGGGGGTGGGGAGGTGACATCTATTAGATGGAGAGGCCAGGGATGCTGTTCAACACCCTGTAGTGCATGGGGCAGCCCCCACAAGGAACGATCCAGCCGCTGAGGCCGAGAGGCCCGAGGCCCTGGGTTACAGGACGTGGGCGTGCATTTACACCCTGAGCTGCTGACCATGATGCTTATCAGGAACAATTCCACAGCAGCCCCGCTTGCCCAGTGCTGGCCAGGTCTCCATCTCTTCCCTCCATGAACACCCTATTAATCCCATTTTGCCCACGACGGAACCGAGGCTCAGAGAGGCAAAGGCATTGGGCCCAGGGCGCACAGCAAGGAAGTGTCAGCACTGAGATTTAAACTTAGGCTCACCTGGTACCACCCTCACTCAACCAGGCCCCACCCTGTCCCCAGCAGGCAGAGCAGGGTACAGCCAGGAGCAGGGCCAGCTCAAATGGGGGAAGTCCAGGCAGGGAGGAGGAGCAGCCTCCCTCAGTCCCGCCTCCAGCATCGGAGCCTGAGAATATGTAAAGCAGAGAGGGAGGGAAGCTGGTCCTCCTGGGTCCTCCTCCCTTGGGTGACTCACTTCTACCCAGGGCCAAGAGGTCACCTGAGGGCCACAAGGCAAACCCAGCAATCAGGGGCCTGGCCTGGCCTCGGGGAATCCCTACTCCTCTGTCTCCCACCATGGAGCAGGAGACCCCGGACCCAGAGGGCCTACCTCCCAGAATCTCCCTCTTCCCAGAGCAGCCAGGGACCTAGACCCCCACATCCGGAGATTTCAATGCCTTGGGCGTTTCCGGAATCTGGACAGGACATCCGTTCGCCGGACACAGAACAGACAGGCACACGTTGGGACAGACAGAGAGACAAGGCGGCAGGCCCAAGCAGCTATGAGAAAGGGATGACCAGGAGGGAGGAGGACAGTGGACAAGAGACGGAAAGGGCATGGGTCCAGCCTCATTCCAGGAATCACAGCCTGTCTGGGTCGTGTGTGGGCCACGCCAAGCGCATGCATGCGCCGGGAGTGGGGGTTCCCACACAGCCCGCCCTGGGCCGGGGGTGGAGGCAGGGACCCCAGCCCATCCCGGCCCCGAGGTCTGACCTTGTGTGATCGGCAACACCAGATACGCCCAGCTCCTCGGCAAGGCTGGCAGGCCATCAGCAGGGCTGGGGGTGGGGGCAGTCACAGGGGGTTATGGGGGAGGGACACAGAAGGGATGGGACGGGTGCAGAAGGAGACAAGAACCCGGTTACACAACAACCATAGGACAATGGACTGGATGGCGAGATGCTTATGGGGACACCAGAGGCACAGACATGTCTCAGATTTGGGTCACCGAACCTAAGGAGGTTGGAGGTCACCCTGGCCCTGCTTGTCACAGACGGGGAAGGTGAGTCCAAGGCAGTGATGCCCACCAGGTGGCACAGAAACAACCTGGCCGGGCAGCAAGCTGCTGCAAGTCACGTGTGTCTCTGTGTGTTGCGGGGGTGACCCAGCCCTGCGATGCCACCCATGGCATAGAGGTAGGATTCTAGGTGTGGGAGCATCCCTGGCTTGCTGACCCCGACACCCCCCCAACCTGGGATAAGGTTCTACCTTACAGCCTGGAGGATGGGAGTGGGGTTCCCAGTCCCCGACCTAATGAAGTGACTCGGACACTTCCGCCAACAGGTGCCAATCTGGGTGGCGTCCGGACCATCATAAAGCTCAGTCTAAGGCGGAGGGTGGCTGGAGCTTGTTGTGAGGGGGAGGGGCGCGTGCCGGGTGGCCTCCTCCCCTCCTGGGGCACCAGGCCAGACACCTGCCCCAGGTGAAGCGGCACCTGCCAGGCAGCCAACGCTGGGGAGGGGAATCAGTGGGGGCTGCGACAGACACCGGGATGCACAGCCAGCCAGAGACACCCGAAGTCGCGCCTCCTCCGCCGCGCCCCCTCGAATTTTCGGGGAGGGGCCGAGTCTGGGGTGCGGCTGGGGCCTTCGGGACAGCGCCCTCCCCCCGAACCCCCATCCGTACCTCCACCTGCCAAGACGGGGGCCGTGCTGGCTCCACGGTCCCGGCCCAGGGAGGGGGCGCCGGGCGCTCCGGAAGACCCCGCCCTCGTCGCCCGGGTCCGGGAGGCCCCGGCAGCGCGCGGGCCGGGGTCCCCGGCGCCGTCGGGCCGCCCCGCAGCTACGGACGCAGGTGCGCCTACCTGCACGGCGTCGCTGGCCATGTCCTCCCGCCGCCCGCCGGGGGGTCCCCGCGCGGAGGGAGGGGCGGCGAGAGGAGCGCGCGTGCGCCCCGCGCCGGGCGGGGAGGGGGCGGGCGCGGCGCGACC